AAAAAGTCATTTTGTTGGACATCTACTGACTTGCCTGTTTAACCACTATTCCTCCTTTTCCTGTTTGTAGCCCATGGTCAACTTTGGGCAATGATTCTCTACCACCTTTGCTCATGGTTTGGCTCACCCTTTGACTTTAGGCTCATGTATAACATTCAGGCAAAAGGAATTGTGTTTTACTCCAACTATTGTGAACAAGACATGCTTTTCCAATGATGAATTGCTAACCTAATACAATGTAATCTTGAAGCTTCTGATGCCTATCTTTGCATACACATTTGGAATATTGAATGATAATTAACCCAAAACACAGAAAGGCAAAGTTCAAAGATGGAGAGAATTTCTGTCCTTATCTAGGATATCCCTGGGCTTTCCAATCACATGACCTAACAAATCCCTTCATCTGCAACAGTTTTGTTTCTCTTAAGACAGTTTGAGTTAGGTGTATGTGCTGAACAGCGAAGTTCAAAGATGGAGAGAATTTCTGTCCTTATCTAGGATATCCCTGGGCTTTCCAATCACAGGACCTAACAAATCCCTTCATCTGCAACAGTTTTGTTTCTCTTAAGACAGTTTGAGTTAGGTGTATGTGCTGAACAGCGAGTTCTAAATTACCCAGAGATGTATGCTGGCATTTCTTTTCGTAGGTCTGCCAACAGTTTTGATAATAATGGAGAGTGGTCATTTTACGTAAAATTAATCACTATTTTATGCAAACAGCCTTAAGGAATCATTGCTGGTAATTATCAGTGCATACGAGTTACTTCTAATTTTCAATAGTCCTTTACCCAGACAAAAGTCTATGAGTCCATTGGAATTGAAGGGGCTTTCCACTAGTGGCAGTACACTGAACTCATGGAACCCAAAATGTTTTCTAATAGCTAACACTTTTTTCTTTGTTCATACACTCCTACTACACTAAGATCACACACCCTGTTTTTACCCCTGTAGTTTTTGTAATCTTAAGTTATGTGCGTTTAACACAAAATGCCTTGTTATGGCTTCATCATTGTATACAGCATTCCTATTAGTCTAGTCTTTCAGAATAAATTGGGTCACCTGACAGAGATATCAGTTCTATCTATCTGCAAGTGCCTGTTTTGAGGCCTTAAATTTACTCATAACTAGCCCTTTCTACAAGTTGGCTGTACATAAATATCTCTTATGAACTTTGTCATTGTATTTCTATAAAACACATTTTTAAAATTTGTAGAAAGGCATATTTTCTTGATGTGCCTTAAGCTAAAAATTATAGAGATGCAAGGGTCATGTGGATCTTTACATTTAAATCTTTCTCTGTGTGACCATAAATCTGTGGTGGAAAACAGATTATGCAATATTTACATATTTAAAGTAAATTCTTCACTTCTATAGGAGTCTCTGAACTAAGAATTTTCATTATTTATCATAAATTTCTCCCTAGATTGCTAAGATAATATAAATTTTCTACAGCACCTCTTCTTACCCAATCTTTTGAACTGGAAAGACAACTATATCTGTTTTCCCCTCTACAAAGTGAGCCTTTTTTTTTTTTTTTTTAACACTGTAAGATTTCTGTCTTCTTTTTTCTTCCTACATGATGCTCCTTTCCTAGCAGAAGCCAGAGCTCAGCATATGGACCCTTAACTAACTGTTCGGTGAATAAATGTGTTGGCATATCATTAGGGAGCTTCTACATAAGAGACCCTGGATTTGCAATAATTCTGTGTTTGTTTCATTTGAAGTTCAGTTTCTTTAACGTTTTATTGCACACCTAGGCAATCATATGGCATAGAACATTAGTGCTTGTTCTGAGACAGACACTGTTGGAGGTGTTTTCTTTGTGATATCCCATTTAATCTTCATAATAACCTATGGATTAGCAGCTATTATTATTATTCCCATTTTATAGATGAAGAGATTGAGGCACAGAAGAGTTAAGTAACTCTTAACTCTTTGCCTAAGGTTATATTGCTAATAGGCAGTAAAGTCAGGATTTGAACCCAGGCAATCTAGATCCTTAGTCCAAGCTCTTAACCACTGTAGTATACTATCAACATTTTAATTAAGCCTGTTAATTTAGACATAGGTCAAAACAAACAAAATGCAACAAACATACAGATAAAAATTAAAATGGAGATCTACCTGATTAGTCTAATGGCAGGAAATTGAAAAAGATAAATCTGGTTTTCATTTAACTTAATTTTTAGGTAGAGTCAATTTTATTATGATAATAAATTGTTCTTAACCTGTAAAGTGCTTAGATTTTTTTTAAAGGAAACCTTTGTATACAAGTAGCAAATATATAAGAAATATTGTTAATGTGACTAATTTGTAAATCAATGATTTGAGTTAGCTTTTGTCCAAGTTTTTCCATTACTGTTGAGAAAGAGAAATAAAAGGAGAAGAGAGCATGTAGAAGGTAGGCTGAAAGAAGCAGGATCAAGAAAACCAATTTTCCAGTACAATGGAGAGTATTCTGGGTTTACTTGAACTTAGCAGTGCCTGTCACATCTTCAAACAACCAATACATGCCAATTTTTTTCAGTATTAGCACTTTGATTTTTGTTCTTGCATTCTTTCTTACTTCCATGGAGAATGTCATATGATAGGAAGAGATAATGACTTCATTAGCTGAAAAACCCCACTTCCCAAGGTTGGGTTTTTAGCTTCAGTCTTTGAATTATTTAATTCAAATTTAATTATCTATCTATCTATCATATACTTAGACAATTATGCTGAAACATACACAGAAGTACACTTGGATCTACAAATATACACCTCGGTAATTTTTCCTATGTGTATTCCCATTCTTTTCTCTTCTCTAAAAATATAAAATGTAAAAATATTCAATCGAAGTGATTATATATATATATTTTTTTCCTTTTTGTCTTTTTTCGTGACCGACAATGGGATCGCAACCCTCGGCGTCGCGCCCGCACCTCGCTTAGCCAGTGAGCGGCCGGTCTGTATGTGGGATCTGAACCCTCGGCGGGAGCACCACCGCGCTCCCAAGTGGCGCACTGTAGCAGTGTGCCACCGGGCTGGCCCCAAAGTGATTATATTTTCTGATTGAGAAATAAAATTCCAATGCAGACATAAAATATATTTATTGGCGGGTATATCCTCGGCAATAAAATACTACAAAATATCTTATAGTTTTGTCTCAGGGTCATCTATCTCCCAAATCTTTCTGGCCTCTAATTCCACCTATACCTGCAAGAAGGAATTGTCCCCACTGTCAAATAAGTGGAAGAAAATCTTTTATTCTTCCTTTCTCTGCAGCATGGGTGTTGGGCTGTACCTTTACTTTTTAGTTTAACATGAGGTAGAAATTTAAGTAGCAAGAGCAGAAAGAATAATTTCACACGTAAAAATATATAAAATAGATAGCTTAGCAGCCATTTTATTTGACTATAGAATAACTCTCACAAAAGAGGCCAGAAAGTTCACAGTATTCTAGAATGATTGGCTGCTATTAAGAGTCATAGGTTATAATTGCTTCTAAATACATTTTATTAGTCTCAAACTGGATTATTGCTCAGCAATCCAGAAGTCTCACATACCTGATCATCATTTTCTTCTCCTGTTCAATATATTGGCATACATTTGTCATAAAAATAGTACAAGACAGTGAAAAGAGTAGCACTTTGGTGGCAGCCAGACCTGGGTCCAAATGTCCACTTCTCCACTTTTTGTGGGTCCCTGGGCAAAGGGCAATTACGTGCTTGCCTGTGGTTTCAATAATCTCCTAAAAGGAGTCTTCACTGTCCTGTTGGGCAGATTCACAGAAACCCCTGTCAAGACTACTGTTTCATAGCAGTGGCTCAGTAAATATGAATTTTAGTTCTATTTCTATACCTGAAGTTAAGCTATGAACATTTGAAAATATTTATCTTCCCCCCTCCCAATTTCCATCACTGCTGTTGAGTGCGATTGATGCACTGAACTCACTAAGTTATGATGGGAAAGAATAATGCTAAAGTCCTCATTGCAAGAGTCATTAATGTTTAAAAAAAACTAAACTTGATGGCAGTATTGTACCATTAGGCTAGGATATCTTCAGTGTGATGTACAAGTAATTAGGGTGAATGGAGTGATTTTAAAGAGACTTGGTCTCACAGATTGTAGTTATCCTTGAAAAAAGGATAAGAATAAAAACACAGCTTCATGCGTAGTAAAAATAAAGCAATAAGGAAATTATATCCTGGCTATTATTTTTTCCCTTTTATGAGGTCTATACACTCTGGTAAGTTCCCTGTGACATCTAGAGAACAAACTACGGTGGACAGACCGTGTGTAGGGAGAAGACAGAACACATCTCTAAAGTTGCTGCTTTACACTGGAATGCCAGATGTCTGGCAGAACTACCATGCTGTATGTGACAGCCTACACCTAAATGCTTAGATGGGGAGATAACTTCTGATGGATATGATTATGCATACTTATGTCCCCTGAATTGCCAATGGCGGTTGACGAGGCATCACTTCCTTGCATGGAGTTGGTGCACATTTTATGTTTGTACCCGGGGGCAAGACAGGTTAATAAGGCCAAGAAGGAGGGGAGGCCGTGGGAGTGGGTAATAACTGGGGAGGACTTCATAGCATCAACCTGGGGGGAAAGGGAGGAGGGCTGAGGATGGAGGGTGTTCCCTTCTACTTCTGCCTATGTGTTAAGTGGCAGGAGAAATTTTGAAAGCTGCTGTGAGGAGGAGCTAGTGACTGAGTTTTGGGGTGTTTTGTACCCCACCCTTACCACTTGTAGGAAAACCTCTTTGCATTCAGAGATAATTGAATTGGAAGAAGGAAGACTGGCCAGGGAATAGGAGGGAAGCGATTCTCCTGCTGCTCCTCCCCCTGTCGTTTATCACTTGCCTCCTGACCCTCTTCCAAACCAAGCTCAGCTGTGTCAAGGTGGCTGCAAACTATCCTGCTCAAGTGCCAGCCTCTGCTTAGCTGCCCTGTGCATCCCAGGCTACCCTATTATCTGGTCACCATCCCTGGCCATTGGGACTGCTTCTGATGGCTGTGGCCTCCGCTGCCCCAGGGAGCATCTTCTGGAAGCAGCTCCTTTTCTCTGTCTTGGTGAGTAACAAACAAAGGCTTAGGGAATTCAAGCATGTTACTACCTGCTTTCTCGCTCCAGTTTGGGCTTGAAAGAGAGTAGGGGCGGGGGCAGAAAACAGACTGGGAAACAAAAACAGATCTGAGAAAAATTCAGGGAAGAGTTGCGAGACTTATGATCCAGGATTGGAAGGGTTTCAGCTACTCTTCAAGTGCCCGCTGCCAGATGTTAGTTTTTCAGGGGAATCCCCAGTTCAGTCCTGCTGTGGTGTTTTTCTAAGTGGAATGAATTCATTCCTTAGGTATTTGACCCAGAAGGGTCTGAGGTTGGCTTTTACTGCTAGTTGTTAAATAAGCTCACATTATTTAACATGCTTAGTTCCACTGAGCTGCAAGAAGAGGAAAAGGATTCGGGGTGAAGATGCAAATTTTCTAGGACTTTCTTAATTTTACCTGGGAAATGCTTAGAGAAAGGCAGAACTCAGTTGAAGCAAGCAGTTGCACTTGCAAAAAATAAAAGAAAAAATGTGACAGTCATTAAAAATACCATTGAGTTGTCTTCCACTTGGGTTTTTAATAGCTTTGTAACTGTATATAAGATGCTGTTTTTCTTTGGCAGGGAGGGTGGAGAGGGGAGTTGTCCCACATCTCCATCTGGCATTTCTGAGCTGTGAATTTCTTTTCTGTTTTTTATTTTAGCAAAATATTTTAGCTTCAAATTATATTTTTAGAATTTGAAGGTTTTACTGCGTGGGGATAAACATGTTCACCATATAAATAATATACAATGCAGGGTCCATGGCCAATTTCTCATCCTGTAACTGCTTGAGGAGAAGAAAACTCAGAGACTGTACTGAGGCAGTATTAGTCAGCTAAAATGTGGTGAAAATTTTCCAAGGAATTCCAGCCAGATTTCTTTTGCTTTTGGTACCAGCTCTGTTCAGTATTCTTTAATTCATCCCCTGCCCCTTTGTCCTTGATGCATATAATGACTAAAAGGGCATCTGACCCCGATTTCCTCCAAATTCCTTGTCCACTGAGTTAACATGAAGGCCAGGGCAGTACTTAATGAATGGAAACCTTCATTGGCTCTGCCTGCAGAGGGAGGGTCCTAGGACAGGGAGGAAAGATGAGAGTGAGAGTCGGTGTAGGAATATATCCTATAAGAATGTTGCATATATATATATATATATATATATATATATATATGTATGTATAGACATATACATGCTGTATAGAGGTATAGATATAAACAGGTATATGTATATATGTATGTGTATATAGGAGGGTACCTCAAAAAGTTCATAAAAAGGTTTGTATTATCTTTTAATTCTATTTTTCTGCAAACTTTTTGAAATACCCTCATGTGTATGGTGTTTATAATTTCTAATGAGAAAATGCTCTTTCCACATTACATATTTAGAATCACCACTAACGGTGCTTTATGCTCATAAAGTTCTTTAGATAAAATTTAGCACATTTGTTGGCATTAGGAATGAACACATTAAAAAAGGTTAAATAAATAAGAATATCTCACGATTTTTTTTTTTGCAACTGGCTGATAGAGGGATTCAAATCTTTGAACTTGGTGTTATAACACCACATTGTAACCAATTGAGCTAACTGGCCACCCCCTGCCCCATATTTTAAAAAGTGGATATTTAATTAAAACTGAATGCAAATGTGATTTTTAAAATTCTAGCTTTTTGTACTATCTGCCTAACAGAAATTTGTAAAATTACACAGTATTTTAATAGGCTGCTAGTATTTATCCAATAGACTTGAGTTGAGTTGAAAGAGAAATTCATATCCTTAATACAGATGTTAATCCCTTCTCTTTCCTCCTCACAAGTAATGAGTCCCATCACTACAGAAATGTGTCTTCAGAGAAAAATTGATCATAAAATTGACATATATGTTTCTAGGAAACCTACCTCTGCTCTATTTTATATTTAAATAATCAAAAAGCAGTCATTTTGATAAAAAGACAAGAAAACAAATAAACAGAAACTGCCAAGAAAAAGAAGCAAAATATGTTTTGAAATTACAGACACCTTCCAATTGGTAGATTCTTCTTTATTTTTTAGATAGTATCTGTCTTCTTTGAACTACCTATCTTTTTAAAACCATAGTTATGTCTTGAACTTAATTAAGTCTTTACCCATTTGAAGGCTACTCTCTGTATTTTGAAATAAACTTTTTAATCTAGTTGTGTGATTTGAGATCATTTAGACTTAGAAGTTTTTGTCAAATCAGTCTGAAAAATGATTTGTGAACAGTGAATATTTGCAGGCATTATTTTTTATGAGTTTGAAAAAAGTCTCAAATATTTTCTAGACTTTATCACCTATACCCTCAAATAGTAAAAATGAGGATTTGAGAATTAGTGCAAATATATGATTATTGTCATCTAGAGTTAAGTACTTTCTTCATGCTGAAAAATCAGAGTGACATTTACAAATGATCTTAGAGATGATGACCTCTTTATAAAGTTAATGGTTTGTAACACATTTTCTTGCAAAGATGCAATATGATTTAGGCTCTAAGAACTACTGTTCACTTAATTTTTTCATTGATACTAAATGACTGTGGTATTCTTAGGGCCACTTTATTCATCCTTTTAAAATGAACAAATAATTGAAGTATTAAAAAATTAATTTGTTTCCAAAATTGACAATATTTTTAATCAATAAGACAAAACTGTAATGTGAAAATTTGTGATCAAATGTAATTCCTGATTTTTTTTTTCTTTTGAGGTTCTAATATTATTTTGCCATGCGTGTCAGAAAATTTCTCTTCAAGTTCCTTCTCATCTTCAGGCTGAAACACTTGTAGGCAAAGGTGAGAAACTGTATTAAGAATTTCATAGTTATGACTTGCTCCATTTAGCTTCAGGCTGCTCTTGTAAAGTTTAGCATAAAAGTCATATAGTAGCTACCTGGCATTGAAATTGGACATACAATGAAAGCTAGGCTATTTGTTTTCTGGTAGTGGTTAGAAAAAATTAAAATACCAAAGGTAGTTGTATAATTTTTTTGCCAGAAAAATTAGCAAACATTGGAGGGCTAAATTAGCTTAGTTCAAACAAAGCAAGGCACCAAAACTAGACACATATTTTAATTCATATCAACTAATCTGCTGCCAAATTTCCAAAGCCAAGTTTCTTTAATTGTTTAGACATGAAAAGGATGTGTCAAAATGTAAATGCCCCAAATAAAATTTGTACTTGAGGTTGATTACAATAAACAGCTATCCACCAGTAACGTATATGATCTGTTTCACAGAATAGCTTGTGAAAGTCAAATAAAATTTTGGTGAATCTTACTACTACAGCCATCCCTGAAGTATAGATTGGCTATTCTGAGTCTAAAGGTAATATTCCTTTCATCAGGGTTTTTCACTGGCCTTGAGTTTACATTCAGAAAAATACATTTGAATACAGAAGTGGTATCCTTTCTAAGATAGACACTGTTTTCCCTAGAGCTTTGAGGTTTTAAGATTATAAACAGTCCATACTCTAAAGGTACATATAGTAAATAAACTAAATGTGTTAAGCATGAATCTGTAAAGGAATTATTTTTCTAACAACAACAATGCATATTAAGCATTGGGTTTATTACATCTCAAAAGGTATTATAGAATATTTATAATATTATTAAGAAATATTACTTAAGAATAGACCAAGTTTTCTTATTTGTTGCAAGATAGTTTTAACCATCAAAGATTGTTGCAAACAAGTTCAAAATCTACTGACAGCATACAGTATACTACATAGATAAAACAGCGAATTTACATATTTACTCTATATACATGTACAAACCCATAATTAAGCATTAAAGTGGAAACAATAAATCTAGTGACACTAAGAAAAAATTTTATTTCTTAAATTAATTTATGATGAAAGTAGTGGAAAATGTAACTCCATTAATTTGATTGTTTTTTCATAGCCCCTAAATTTTAGAATAGCAGATACTCAACGCATTGCAGTGTAACCTCCCTCCTTCTGTTTCTCACACACTAACTCACAGTAGTCATTCTTGTAAAACTTGTTCTAGTCCTGTTTCATCTGACAAATTGCTGTGAAATTTCTTCCCTGCAGTGAATCTGGAGGAGTGTCTCAAGTCGGCCAGCCTAATCCTGTCCAGTGACCCTGCCTTCCGAATTCTAGAAGATGGCTCAATTTACACAACACATGACCTCATTTTGTCTTCTGAAAGGAAGAGTTTTTCCATTTTTCTCTCAGACAGCCAGAGACAGGAACAAAAAGAGATAGAAGTTGTACTGTCAGCAAGAGGAAACACGGTATAATAAGCAAGGACTCACATAGACTAGCATTTCAATCTGCTTACGAGAGTCCCTCAATTCATATCTTTCCTTTCACACTAGAATCATTGTTCTTGAATGATCTCTTGTTTGTCCTCCACTTATAATTAATCTAAATAAAGACTAGACTCTTAAGGAGGGGTAAAACTATTTACAAAATTGTATAAAGATAAACAACTCTGTAGCCAGGGAGCCAAGGCAGAATATCAAAGGTTTCAGAGAGTGTTTTGAAGTGTGGCAATAAAACAATCAACCTCAAGAACAAGGACAGGGCAGGGGCGGGTCTACAACTCAGTGAAAAGTGAATCAGGGTGGAGGTGTGGCACTTCCTCCTGTGAGGCTCTCTCCCAACTGACTGTGGGTTTGGGTCTCTCTTTAAAGAGGAGAGATTGTCTAAAGCTTTCTCCCATCTTAATAACAAACTCCACGGGGTCTGTCTCTTCAGAAAGTGGAGGTGTGGCCATTCCACATGAGTGGTTTGAATCTTTTGACTCTAGACTTGTGTTCTTGCAGTGAGTGCTGGTGATCAGCCCATGGAGTGGGAAGGGAGAAGGCTGCTGGAGCTCACATCTGACTTTAAGCATTCCCAGCACAATGAATTTGGTCTTATAAAATCATTTGGCGATAAGAGATTCCATTTATAAGAGGATTTCCCAGCTAAATGCCTTTTGATTACGAGAGCTCCTCTTCACTGAATTTGGAATATACTTGTCTTGCAAGATTTTATTTCATAGGGCCAGCCCATGGTTCACTTGGGAGAGTGTGGTGCTGACAACACCAAGTCAAGGGTTAAAAAAAAAAAAGATGTTATTTCATATCCAAATTGTAGAGTCTCCACATTGCATAAAATACAACATACTTGAATAAATGTTAATCTATGTCTTTAAATAGATATATAAATGCTTGCATTATAGTGAGGGTTTTAACAGATTTTGGTTGAACTACTCAGTGAAATAAAATTAATTTGTAAATATTTGTTAATGGATTATCTATTTCTTTGGGTGGGCTCTATACTTTCTCAAGATGGCATCTTTCTCAGTGCCTTATTAATTTCTGGTTGGTTAACTGGTTAAACCAGGAATTAGGTTGTAATGGGAAATACAATGCAGTCTGAGGTCTCATGAGTATTGTGTATGTGTAGGTATGTGTGCTCTAAAAAATAAAAATGCTTTGAGCATTGTCCATGATATTTTTATGTATAACCCTTGATTATTTCCTCCATGTTGACGTACATGTGAAAATCCTGGTTCCCAGAATGATAAGCAATGCTGTATTTCTTTGTTTTATCAAATGTAGGCTCGTAAGAAGAGACACACCAAAGACACAGTCCTTAAGCGCAGCAAGAGACGATGGGCCCCTATCCCGTGTTCACTGATGGAGAACTCATTAGGTCCATTTCCACAACACATTCAACAGGTACATTTCATCTTATTTGATTGCATATGTGTTAGAGTTTTGTTGTTATAACTTTCCAGTTATATTGAATTAGGGCTTTAAACCATTGATACTAATAAAGATCATCTGTTCATCAGAATTAGAGGCACATAAAAATGATTCAGTATATTTTATCACTTTCTTCCAAAAATGATATTTAGACATGCTACACTTTTTAGCAGTCATGTACAGAGGGCGTGTCTACAGATTTTGCACGATTCAACTCCTGCTTCAATTAACACTTACCCTCCAAAAAATGGCCAGTATTTCTGTTTAACAAGTAATGTTGCTTCACTGCCACATAGCTGGAATACAAACATAGGGCAGTTTTGAAATTATGCACTTCTTGAAGAATTAATTGTGGAAGGAAAGCTGCATTATGTCTGCTTTTTTAATCACATAATTTTCCATTCCAAGTAATTCAAAATCACTGAAACTGTTGCTATACTTTACATAGGAAAAAGAATAAGTGAATAGAAATTGCAAAGGTATATTACTCCACAAGTTTTATAAATATACAGACAAGAAAAGAATTTGGGATCAAATAAGTGACAGAGTTTGTGGCTTTGCATATCACAGAATGCAAATAAGAATTTGGAAAACATGCAGATGGTGGGTAGGTAAGCAGAGAAAAGAAAGAGTAGGTGAGTAGGAAAGAGAGCAAGTGATAAAAAATAAACCATCACAGGAAGTTAGGTTAAAGATGGCTGGCCAGTTAGCTCAGTTGGTTACAGCACATTGCTGTTAACACTGAGGTCCAGGGTTTGATCCCCGGACTGGCCCAGCTGGCCACCAAAAAAAGTAAATAAATAAAAAATTAGGTTAAAGATATTTATCATGGCATATTTGTTCTATCTCTAAAGTTTTACTTATTGTTACAGATCCAATCTGATGCTGCACAGAATTACACCATCTTTTATTCCATAAGTGGGCCAGGAGTGGACAAAGAGCCCTTCAATTTGTTCTACATAGAGAAAGACACTGGGGATATCTTTTGTACACGAAGCATTGACCGTGAGCAATATGAACAGTTTTCGGTAGGATTACGGAAATATTTACTCAGAAGTGTATCTTCATTATTGGTTTATTAATATTTTTGATTCTGCTTGTTTACATATTACAAGGATCAAATATTTGACTTAATGTTTTAAATATTAATATGCAATATAAACTTTACATTTCTACTGGTGCCATTGATAAAGAAAGTGGATATAATAAGGAGAATAAAGGCATGAGGGAAGGTATAGAAAATATAATGGTAGCATTTTAAAGGTCAGATTTTGATCTGTGGAATCCTAGCAAACAAACAAACAAAATTATTAAGTTCAAAGTTCACTATAATAAAATAGCTCAATTATTTTCAACTGTGGCTGTGCTTAGAAAAAAGAAAATATACTGATGTTTGGTCCCATGCCCAGAGAGCCTGATTTAATTGTTCTGCAGCCCAGTCATCCAAGATGATTCTAGATGTATACAGTTGCGTCCACTGCCTCAGCTCCTTGTGTAGCATTGCATTTCTTATTGTGATCCTTGCCAGAGGGAAGAGGAGAGAATAATTTAAAGTTAAAATAGGTCACTTTGCTATTTTTAACATTTTTTAAAGGACAAGTGAATAAAAGAGTTCAGAATTTGTGTTCAAAGTTAGGTTTTGAATACTTTTTGCTTCAGACTTATGAAGAGAAACCTGTTTCTCTAGTTCCCATTAACATAGTTATGACTGAATTGGCACCACTTGAAACACTGCTTACAAATTAGTAAAATGCATTAAGTGAAGTACAGCAACAAGATGTAAACATGGTGCAAGTTACAAAATCTCTTGAATCAGGATGGAAGAGAAGACTTCTCTGTCAATGGAGAGGTTAAAATTAAAATAATATGCCTTTAAAATAATATACCTTAATAATTTTCCATAGCAGGATGGACTTTGGTTACATAGGGAGACATTTCAATGCCATTGTGTTGAGGTAGAAGAATTCACTACAAGAGGTGCAATATAATCTTTATAATTTTTACAGAGGGCAAACTTAAGGAGTAGTTTGTCTTCCTAAAAGGGATGGGTGGAATTGAATGCAAAAAGCTACTCATATTTATTGAAGATTATTCCACTATAAGGCACTATATTACTGTGTTTGGTGCTTTGTGGATATATATATCAGTAAGTTTTAGGCTTCATGTTGGAGGACAATTATAATCTCATAAAACAATTTTATAGTATTCTCTAGCCAAAAATCTCAAAATGGCAGCATTTTAAAAGAGAAAAATTCACATCTCCTGCACAAGGAAAAACTAAGAGATTGTTAGGAAGGCTGAATAGTGTGACATCTGGATGTGTTGGTAGTGATGATGATGATGGTGGTGGTGGTGGTGAAATGGTGTTGATATACCTCTGAATTCCACTCGTGGACTTGGGATTTATTGAGTAATGAGATATAGAGACCAGACTGATAGAAATCAAAATATAAGTTTTATTACTGAAAAAGCCCACCTCTCAGTTGTTTGAGGAAACGTAAATAAGGGACAGAGAGAATATGAATGTTTATTTTAATACTTTCCATACTAGAGTTTGGAGTGGAAATTTCTTCTGCTCCAGGTTTGCATAAAGAGTGTAAACACAATATTGCCGTTTAAGACAGTAGTGAGAATTTTGTGGTTACATTAGCAGATAATGAGTAGATCACTGAAGAGTCTGATCAGGAAGTATCATGATTAAAATTGTGCTTTATGAATATAAAATGTCACTTTATAGATTGGAGAAGGGAAGGCCAGTTAGGACAATTGCAGGAAAGTTGGTGAGACAACATGTAGGATACTTTTGGAGTCACATGAGGATACTAGCAGCGGGAATAGGAAAGAGAAGGTGGATGATAGAGACACAGAAATGCCATAATCTCTAAAATTTGGCAACTAACAAATATGGCTAATGAGAGAGAGGGCGGAATTTGAGATCTGGGATTTTAATCCCAGCTCATTTTAGAAATGGTGAAGAACTGAGTTAATACAGAGTTCACTTTGGGCAGGTTTAGTTGGTCCTGTCAGTGAAGAAAATCCGTTTAACTCAACAACTATGTATTGAGCACGTGTAATGCACAAACCACAGCAGGAGAATGCAGAAATAATTTGATGAAGTTTGAAGGGAATGGACATTAAATCCTGGCAGTTAGAGCCAAGATATATCATTTTGAGGTGGAGTTTGTGATACGTATATACCTTTATCAGCATTTTTATTACAAAAAATACATGTTTATGATAGAGAAAAGAGGAAATATAGGTAGAGAAAAGAACCCATAATTGAATCACCCAGAGATAGTTGTGATATATACATATACACACACACACACACACACACAAATACATATATAAATAGAATCATATTTTTATAAACTTCTAAAAATACTTGTTATTATCATAACTGGGGGAAGTCGACATGCACTCTGACAAGTAGAACAGCATGCAGTTAATTCAGAGAGCACCTGGAGTGCATGGTGCTTGGTGCTTGGAGTGCTGGGTACTTGGTGGGTGAATAGTGGCAATAATGCTGATAGGGGATTGAAGCCATATGGCAGGCATAGATTGTGCTGTGCGTTATCTCTCCATTGCATTTTTCTTAGTTACAGACACCTTTGTGGGTGATTTTTTAAATGTCACATTTTCCCCCACTGCAAGGCTTACTTTTGTGCATAATTGGTTAGTTGAGAGCAAGGTGATGGTGTTTTTCTTCCTTTCAGCTATACGGTTATGCAACGACCACAGATGGCTACGCACCAGAGTATCCGCTTCCCTTGGTGATCAAGATTGAAGACGATAATGATAATGCCCCATATTTTGAAAACAAAGTGACTACCTTCAGTGTGCCTGAAAATTGCCGATCTGGTAAGTTCATAACTTATAGTGGTATGATAAGATTATTTGACACTTAATAAGTGTTATAATTTAAAATGTTTAATTGTATCATTGCATTTCATGCTTTTTTTGGTATTTCTGATTATGTACACATTTTTCCCTTTAGGAATTGATGTTATACGAAAGCGTTATTAAGAGTCTTCAACTGGAGCAAATTTTCTTAAATTTAAGCGTATTCATAAGACAAAATTTCATACATTTTTCCCTTTTATATCATGATTTTATAGCTCTGGAAATATTTATTTGACCCAATTCTTTCTAGGGTGGGGTTGTTTAGGTTGGTGTTTGCTTTACATGTGTGTTCTCAGGAAGTCTGTAGTCGAGGATGTGTTGCTCAGTTTTCCCATTGGGAGAAGTCAGATGTTCAGTATGAAAAGGACTAGCCAGGAAATTGTAGAGAATCTGAGAAGGCAATTATTAGTGGGCCAAGAACCATTTTGTCTTCCAAAAAAATAAGAAGTTATTTTTTCATTCATTCATTCACTTATTCATTGTTTATTTTTTTAATTATCATGAGCATGTGTCTAAGGATATGTGAAAAGCTAAGTTTAGAACAAAATTCAAGTTTCCCTTCTAAGCAAGAAAAATACTCCAAAGGAGATTAATATAACAAAAGATATAAAAAAGTTATTTTTATTGTGCCAAAGAATATTTTTTAACAGAGATTTGAAATTCAAAGGGTTTGACTTTTCTGATCTATATTCTATGTGTAGTGCCAGTTTTTACTGAAATCTTGTAATATCAGTGTTGCTTTTCTGAATTCTCTTTATTAAATGACTGTTAGTTATTGGCTTTTATTTTAGCCTAAGCTTGTAACCAGTGTCTAGTATAATGGCAGTTTTAGGAAAACACTACATTTTTGCTTCAGTTGAATTTCTCATTAATGTTTTAAACATAATTATGTTAAGCATTTTAAAATGCTTGACTTTCAAGAGTATACTATATAAAACTTTCTAGTTTTATAAAATCACACACTTTTCAAAGGTAGATCTTTTTGTGCTCACTTTGCTAAGCATGTGTAGAAGCTAGGTAACTGATAGGTAAAGTTACTGACTAGTTAGATTAATCCACAATGGATCTGAATGTGCAACAGACAAATGCTGTTCATATTCTCTATTTTTACAATGTACATATGTGTCACAGGTACACTTATAAAACAATACATAATTTGAATCTTTATAAACTTTTAATACTTTCAATAAATTTTAAGGACCAGAAATATATCATGGTATGGAAATGCTGATCTAATTTATAACATGTACATTGTTTTTCTTGGCATATCTTCCAGATAAATTGAAAAAAAAAAAAAAAAAAAACCTCAGTTAAACTGGTTTTATGTTATGTGCAGCCAAGATTGTGACCTAGGTCTACCAAGGGACATAAGATGGTCTACTTTATTAAAAAATTTTCAAGAAATGATGTTAGTTCTTATGGCCTCCTCCTTTCTGTTGTCATGTATGTCGTGTGTATGCAGGCATAATATTGCTAGCTCACAGCAAGTGAATTGTAAAAACAATATTTTTAGTACTGTCATGTGTGGGGCATGAAGCTTGTCCAAATACTATTCAGACTCGTACATAATGTCCGTGTCTTGCATATATTAATAATTGCTTGCATATGTTAATAATTCAGCACTTTTATTAAAACATTAAAACATAAAATCTTTGTTATCATATGCCAAGATGTGCTATTCCTCTAATTAACATTATCATGTTGGTCTATAAAAGAGACAAGGTATAGAGAAAGGTCCCCATCCAAAAATGTGAGTTGGGGAAAAGAATTTGAAAATTATCGTTACCAAGGATAGGGTGGGAACTTATATAGAATACAAATCGGGTTCTTCACAGTAGCCACCTAATTGAAGTTCCCAAGTAAAGGGGACTTGAGATGTTTTGGAGAATATTCACATGTCCCCAACTTATCTTTTAAACTAATGTACATGTGAGTTTTGGGAGAATTTGCTGCAGCAATGTCTTGATTTTATTTTTGTTTATAATTCAATTATCATAATTTAAATTTTTTGACAATATTGGATTTATCTAAACAGGAACTTCAGTGGGACAAGTGACTGCTGTAGACCATGATGAACCTGGCACTCTACATACTCGTCTGAAATATAAAATCTTACAACAAATCCCTGATCAACCAAAGCATTTCTCCATACATCCAGACACAGGTGTCATCACCACATCTACACCTTTTCTGGATAGAGAAGTAATGAATTGATTAATTAATTTCCCAGCTATTAAACTATATTTTTAAACTGATAATGAACGCCCAAGAGAAATCACGATATGGCCATCGTGGCCAGCTCTCGAAGCATACTTCCTTCCGTAGGTGGCTGTTAGGGCTTCTCTGGAAACTTCCTTCGTTTCTACAGAGATGTTGGGAAAGTACAAGGTCTCACCCGAGGTCATTAACCTGATTTGATCTGCTGATGCTAAAATCACTTTAAATTTAGTTTATTTTGTTTTATTTTAGTTTAGTTTTATAAAAAATGCTTTTATTTGGCTTCAATATGTGTAATTAAAAAATTAATAAACTTTGTTAGAGCAATTTTAGGTTCACAGCAAAATTAAATAGAAAGTACAGACGGTTCCCATGTACTCCCCATACACCCCCTGTCCCCACACAGACACAGCCTCCCCTACCATCAACATCCTGCACCAGAGTAGTAGATTTGTTACAATTTATGAGTCTATTTTGATACGTCATTATCATCCAAAGTTCATAGATTACATTGGGGTTCACTCTTGGTGCCGTACATTCTGTGAGTTTGGACAAACGTATAACGACATGTAGTCATCATTATAGTAACATGCAGAGTAGTTTCACTGCCCTAAAAATCCTCTGTGCTTCTCCTATTTTATCCCTTCCTCCCCTTTACCCCCAGAAACCACTGATCTTTTTCTGTCTCCATAGTTTTGTCTTTTCCAGAAGGCCACATAGCTGGAATCATGCAGTATGTAACCTCTTCAGATTGGCTTCTTTCACTTAGTAATATGCATTTAAATTTCCTCCATGTCTTTTCATGGCTTGATAGCTCATTTCTTATTAGCACAGAATAATATTTCATTGTCCGAACATACTAGTTTATTTATCCATTTACCTACTAAAGGACATCTTGGTTGCTTTCAAGTTTTGGCATTTATAAATAGAGCAGCTTTAAATTTAGAAATATTATAATAGACACATCAGCTTCCCATTGTACTGATTAGCCAATCTCTTGTTCTGTATTAGTATTTATAATTTTTTAAAATTATTGAAAAAATGAATATTTATAAAATAATCACAGTCTGAAGAGTGTCTATGAGCATTGCAAGATAGGAAAAAGAAGTGGTCATTCATATACCTTTTTCCTTTTTTTTTTTTCCAGAAATGTGATACTTACCAGTTAATAATGGAAGTGCGAGACATGGGGGGCCAACCTTTTGGTTTATTTAACACAGGCACAATTACTATTTCGCTTGAGGATGAAAATGACAATTCACCATATTTCACAGAAACTTCTGTGAGTATTTCTCTGTATTCATCAACTGAGATTCATTTACTTTTTCAAAAAACAAATATGGAATTTGGTAGCTCGGTGAGATCACACATTTTGGTTTAAATAGCTACCACTTACAAAGAACCTAGGGAGAAAAATGTGATTTCTGTTAAAATAATTGAAGTGCCAGTTATTTCTAGATGCTAGGAAAATAACCATGTTCTTGGCTACCTAAGACCTGGTTAGCCCTTGACACTGTTTCCTTGGTTGTTAAGCTCCTGTATCGGATTCCTTGGACTTAAGTTCTTTTTATAGGGTAAAGGAAAAAAGGCCCTCTACATTTCAATTTCTTAAGATGAAAAGAGCTAGCTTTCTGTCCTCTGCTCCAGTCCCTTGCATGTGGAGTCTTAGGACAGGCTGGTCCACCACCACCCAATGCAGGATCTTCTGTTTCATGTATGCGCAGACTTTCCCATAGGCAGTAACAATGTAAGATATATGACGGGGTGCTTTAAAAAGTTCACAGAAAGATTGTGTTATCTTTCAACTCTATTTTCCCACTCATATGTATATGTGAAGTACCCCCATATATATGATGATACTTCCAGGAAATGGTTCTTCTTTCCTGAACTTTTGATGAATAATCTTTCATTTTTTAAATTAATCTATACCAGCGTACAAGTCAAAGAAGGAAACTCACAAGTACAGTGATAGGTACATTCGTGTCATTTTTACATTAATCCTTACAATGTGTGAGGACATGTTTTATCCCATATTTCATAGGAGGAAATGGAAGGTCTTTTAAGTAACATCATACATATAGACCACGTACAAGGAATAAATAGGATTTGAATCTAGACCCATTATACTCCAATGTCTGTCATCCTTCTATGAATTCATCTTACAACTCTAGCAAACTCTGGTTTACTATGTTTTGTAGTCTTTAAATATATTATGCTTCTTTAAGCATATTTTTTGAGGGAAGCTATGATTTAATTTCTCAAAAAAGGGAAAACTTTTCCCTCAAAGTGTTTGCTAGTGAATCAAAAGTAAATAAAAAAAGTTTAGTGTGAAAACAAGTCATCCAGTAATAAGAAATCAATGTATGTTATCACTATCTACAAATATTGAGTGCTTAACAGATTAATATGAAGCATTTATTAAGTGCTTACTATGTCTAAAAAGGGAAGATAGACTGTAAATATTGTAGAGGCTCAGAGAAGAGATAAATATGAGGGCTAGAATGATTAGGGAAATTGCCTCAGAGAAGTTTAGAAATTAAGACATGAGGTAGTCTTTGCAGAATGGACTTGAAAGGGGAGTTTAGGAGGAAAGAAGTAAGCTATGCATTAATTTGTAAATTCTTTCCTAATACGTGAGTGCACATTTCCACATCATTTTGTTTTCTTTTCTTTTAAATACAGGTTTTAAAGTAGAAAACCATGTTGTTAAGGCTATAAATAATAAAACACAATTTCTTCAGTATTTTGCAGAAGTAGAAGAAAACAGGATTGATGTTGAGATTTTACGAATGAAGGTACATGACCAGGATTTACCAAACACTGCTTACTCAAAGGCTGTGTACACAATCCTACAAGGAAATGAAAATGGAAACTTCGAAATTAGCACGGATCCCAATACAAATGAAGGAGTCTTGTGTGTTGTCAAGGTAAGCAAATAAAATAATCGAGCTGTGCTTTAAAGCATTGTAACTTACATTTAGGCATTGATATTAAAAAATAAATTCCTATTTGTATATAAGTAGAATATTGCAATGCAATGCTGAAATGATTTACATTGTTGTATAAACTTTTTTTTCGCTATTATTTTACCCTCATTTTCTCTCTTAGAGGAAAGTCATGTCAGGTACAAAGCTTATGCTCTATATATGAGGAAAACCAAGGCCGAGAAATATATATATATATATATTATTGGTTATGAATATTCATGAGATACAAAGCTGATTGTCACCCCTCGTGCCCATGATGTGAGAGATAGATTAATACTGGCAGCATACCCATTACCACAAATTGCATTTGTACCCTGTGTCCCCCACCCAATTATCCCCAACTTTCCTCTTCCTCCAACTTTCCCCCCCACTCTACTTTGTAGCCCAAGGAATGTTCTCTCCCAAGGCAGAGAAATATTGAATATTGAGTGTTGACTCAGATATTAGCCTTAGGAGGGGTCACAGACACTCACTCATCCAAATCCCTATTTTTTAAGAACACACAGCAGAAAAAAAATGGAAAAAACTCTTATTTGAATCAAACTTCTTGACTTAACTCCTTTCATGTTTATATTATATTTTACTTTTACCTCTCTGTGATATATTTTATAAGATCAACCATAGTACTAAATATTCATCAGCTATTCCTATTAATTCCCCTATATTTGAGATAGCCAGTGATTTTGGATTTTTAAAATTTAATTGCAATGATTGGCTCCCAGGATGATTAACTGGACCTGGTTCCTTTCCGAGCCCTTCTGCTCATAGTTCTTACTAACCTCTTCCATATCTTCTCTCATTAATTTCTTAGAGACAATATATCTTCTTAGAAGCTCTATGATGAAATTATGTTTTCTTTTTAGAAAATGCCCTTTCGTTATTATACTGCCTATTCTCTCTTTCTCTTTTCTTTCTTTCTTTTTATTTCTAGATTTCTTCCTCTTGGAGCTCTTCCTTTGCTATTTAACTGTTGTTTCAGGATTCCTTCTAATCATTCAGTTTAGGACTGAGCAGTTTGATCAGGAACTAAGCAGAGCTAAATATAATGTCTTTGAAAAGGTGCTGCTGAATAATACCATTAGATCTTTTGACTCAGATATTCAGAATAACTGCTCTATTATAGCTAAATCTTTATCCAATTATTTTATGTACTTAGCTTGGAGTGACTTTAGTTATCACTGTTATCCCATATGATAAGTAATGAAATAATTTGAATTTTTCAAACACTTATTCTGTATTTTTATTAATATTTAAACTTGTAAGGCAACATGAAGGCAGAATCTTCTAGAAGAAAAGTGAGGGAAAAATTGGTTAAATCTTACAATCAACAATTTACCATTTGACAGTTTGTCATTTTAGGAAGCTAATTATCAGTCTTTAATAATATTAGCACCAACTTCTGATAACATTTTAAGTGTAAAAATGATAATGCCTTTGTATGAAAACAAAAGTATAATCATAAGTCTTCTATGTAATGTATATTGACTGATTAAAATATGTTTATTGAACAGCCATTGAACTATGAACTCAGCCGCCAAGTTGTTTTGCAAATTGGTGTTCTTAATGAAGCACAATTCTCTAAAGCAGCAAACTCACAAACTCCTACCATGTGCACTGCAACTGTCACTGTTAAAGTTAAAGACAGTGATGAGGGTCCTGAATGCCAGCCACCAGTGAAAGTCATTCAGAGTAAAGATGGCCTCCCAGCTGGCCAAGAGCTCCTTGGATACAAAGCATCGGACCCAGAAACACGAAATGGCGAAGGCTTAAAGTAATTACTTTTTAAAATAGCTTCTTAATTTTAATTGTGATGTAAATTGATTTCAAATTTAGGAAAGTTCTATGTGGTTTTCGGGTGACAGATTTTAAGATTATGTTTCCTCTTTGGTTTGATCCTTTACATTTGATTTCTGAAAATTAGGTATCAGAAGTTAGGAGATGAAGATAACTGGTTTGAAATTAATGAACACACTGGTGACCTGAGAACTCTGAAAATACTAGATAGAGAATCAAAATTTGTGAAAAACAACCAATACAATATTTCAGTAGTTGCAACGGATACAGGTGAGTGCCTTTTTCTTTAAATAAAGTAAAATATAGGATATGTTTTTAAGAAAAACTTAGCATGAAATTTTTTTTAATTTCAGAATGAAATTTAGTTCAAACAATGTTTGCATTATGATTGCTCGTTTTATTTTAGAACACCCAATTTATGCCCCAGTGTGTTGGTAATTCAAAGCTAGGAAGTGGTGAATGGTCAAAGTCTAAGTTTCAAGGACAATATTGTTTGATTTCTGCTGCAGAGACAGTGGCGTATGCAAGAATCTTCATTTTTTTCAGGAGTACAGGTTTAGATTATTATGATTTGAACTTGCTGAAAGGGTTCAACCCCGCCTAAAACAGTTGGGTTCAAGATAGGTTTGTTCTGAGCTTCTCTTAATAGAGAACAAATTGTTTATACAATTTTCTAAAGAAATGATCAAACCATGACTGAAATCTTTTGCTGTGGCTTATAAGTTCTCTCAAAGGTTAATTCTAGAAACCATTCTGAAAGGAATGTCCTTCAGATATAATAAAGTAGTGATCTCAAAGCCCTTTTGAACATATGATCCTACCAGTAAACCATTTGTTAATGTGTTTAAACATATGTTTCTAAATACTTTTAAAAATGTTTGCTTGTGTCTTTATTTATATACATGTACCACTATGCTAATGTATTTGTACATCATAAAAATACACAAAATAGAAACTAACAAAGATGATAAAAATATAAATAGAAGTTATACTATTTTATTTCATCACATCAATTACGTACTTACCTACTTGAGGCAAATTGTCAGAAATAAAAAAACAAATGGACTTGGATTTTTATAACAAAATCTACTTTGTTGACTGTCTGCCTGATCCAGGAGGGTTTCCCCTTCTTTTTATTTATATATGTTGGATGCTCAAAACAAACTAGCTGATATATATAGCAACGCTATAGTCTGTTTCTATAGAATTATCGAATTTCTTTATATTAAATGGATGAATGTATGAATAAATACATATCAAATCCCATGGAAATGAACACAAGTTGAAAGTAAGTGAAACTTTTTATGTTTATACATTTTGTCCCTTGATATTTTGATAATAAAATACAATGTTTTCTGAGATATTATGCCCCGACTTTTTTCTATAGTTTTAAAACATAAGCCACATCTACTACATTCAGGTTTCAAAAATCTGAAAATTACTCTGAAAGAAAACCTAAATATGAATATCATTAAATAATTACTTGCACCTGATCTTTCTTTCCTCTTGATAGCTCTCACACATAGTTTTAATATAGTTAGGAAAAATCCCTGCTAAAGAATGGAGAAAACATTAGCTGAGAAATGTAGTTAATTCACCACTACTGTATTATCCTGGGTGATTTGCTTCTCTTTTATAAGTAAAAATGCAATTTAAATGGTTCAAGAACACAATTATGATAGCAAAAGGATTTATAATTACTCCTTTTTTCCTCAAACGTTGCTTGTCTTAAGTTCCAAGTACTAGGCAAGTTCCCATGGAAACAAAGAATCATAAGATAAGGCCATTTTTTCACATAATATCAGTTAAGTATTATTATATTCTCATAAAAGATTCTATGGTATGAAAACTTTCCTCATAAAAGAATATATGGATATTATTGGAAGTTGAGTTAAGAGCTGTCCAGATTAAAGGATAAAAGGGAGGGGAGTTGACAGAGCTTGATGAAAGAAAAATGAAATATTGTTTGGAGAGGAAGAAATTATAGGGAACAAAATATAAGAAATTAACTTTGCCTTTTGGTGCTAAAGGGCAATGTCTATAAGTATCGTGATCATAGTATAAAAAGAAAGAAATATAAAAGGCAAAGTTTGATTGTATGAATCTATGTCCCAGAATCATAGGTAACTTGGGTGTGCTCAAGAAAAACTAAAAATAAGAATGTTATAAATTTTAATGGAAAACCATGTGGTGATATGAATTATTCCCAGTAATTAATATTTCCAGATAATTAACATATTATTCACAGGAGTGCTTACCAGGTATTAAGAAAGAACTGAACAAGACTAGGGGAACAATCACAGAAGTTGTCACTGCCATTGATTCGAAGGAGTTAAGAGACTTAAATTTCAAACAGGAGGGACGCTATTTTAAGAAGGTGTATAAAACAATGCTTTCTAGATTAACAGCAGGGAAACATCCTAACTGACAAAGTGGACCAACACAAGAAATACAAGGAAATAAGCTGGATAATAAGAAAGTTAGAAGATCATCATCTGATATATATATATATATATAAAACAAAATGTCCATATATATATATGGACATTTTGTTTTGGTGCTCATAAATATTTCCAGATGATGATCTTCTAACTTTCTTATTATCCAGCTTATTTCCTTGTATTTCTTGTGTTGGTCCACTTTGTCAGTTAGGATGTTTCCCTGCTGTTAATCTAGAAAGCATTGTTTTATACACCTTCTTAAAATAGCGTCCCTCCTGTTTGAAATTTAAGTCTCTTAACTCCTTCGAATCAATGGCAGTGACAACTTCTGTGATTGTTCCCCTAGTCTTGTTCAGTTCTTTCTTAATACCTGGTAAGCACTCCTGTGAATAATATGTTAATTATCTGGAAATATTAATTACTGGGAATAATATGTTATCGCATATGATGTATCTTCTCTATAAAAGGGGGGTTTTATTGTTTCTCATGTTTATTCTGTTTGTCTAACTAGATTGATTCTAAATTCAATTTTGTGTAAGGATGCTTTTTCTTTGGTAAACCATCCCCAGATGCTGTCCTGAGCATCTGGCAGAGAATTGGCATGTTTTCTTATCACTGGCGCTGATATTTGTCATTCCTCTGTTGTTTGAGAGTTCCATGAACTTCCAGGTCCATGTTGTACATTTTAACTGCCAAGAGCTTTACAATTCCATGTGCATAATTGGCACTTGGAACAATTAGTTTTAATGTAGAAAATTGAGATTAAAAGTTTACAAAATGCATTTTTGTTTTGGGTTCGATAAGAAGAATTTTCTTAAAATAAATATTTGAGTTGTCATGTAAAAATACTTAGTGTGTATTGTTCAAAAAGAATGTGAACAAATTTTAGGAAATTATTAGGAGGCGTATTGTAGCTTAATAAGAAAGAATCTAAAAACTTTCCAACAATTAATTAAAGAACTCTATATATGAAGTGGGCTGATTCATAATACAGTGAACTTCGGTTACTGAAAAACATTTAAGTTGCAATGGAAACTACTGTTTTTCAGAGTTTACTGTTGAAGCATCATGATTTTGAAGCATTTAGATTTTGGTTAAGCCAAGATGCACTTTACAGCTCTGATAGTGATGCTTCTCATTGTGATATTACTCATTGATAATAAATATCACAATATTTCTATTGTGATATTACTCATTGATAATTGACATTTGCCTATAATTTAAAGTAAGGTTTAGAAGTAGACAAACATACCCGATTACCTTCTCACAATGTTCAACCTTTATCAGTAATTACTTGTTTTTGGCTGTATTTCACAGAGGTAAGGTGAAAACTTATCACCAACATTTTGTACTTTTAGAAACCTTCTAAGATTTCATTTCAGCTCTGGCTTTGAATGCCATTCATTTAAATCATTTCACTCATCTTTCATTTTGTCTTTATCACCATGCTTAAAACAGAGACAGTGATAGAAGTTAATACGTTATGTGATAAATGTTGGTTGACTAGAAGATTAAATGTGTCTTGATTTGCTTTCCTATGGTTGCCATACGTTCAGTAGCTTTTTAAAGTGTGATTTCTCTTTATTTTTCCATAAAGAGAAAGTTTCTCTGCTTAAATTTTATTATTATTTTTTTAACTTTTTTAAAATTCTACTCTATACCCTTTTTTTTTTCTTCCAAATTTTATTTTATTTTGTCAATGTACAATGTGGTTGATTATTGTGGCCAATTCCTGAAACCTCCCTCCCCTCCTCCCTCACCCCCTCCCTCCCAACAATGTCCTTTCTGTTCCCTTGTCATATCAACTTCAGGGAATTGTAATTGTTGTGTCTTCTTCCTTCCCCCCAACCCCGGTTTTGTGTGGATTTATTTATTTATTTTTAGCTCCCACAAATAAGTGAGAACATGTGATATT